AAGTCCCAATGCCTTTACGGAAGACTTATCATCCGTTATATCAAACATTTCAGAATGATCATTTTCCAACGATGTAAATTTTAAAATTTTATCATCATTTGCAGCCCATTTATGGAGAGACATATTTGCTTTGGAAAATAATGCTATTAATTCGTCCCTTAATCTAACCGATTGCTCTAAAGTTTCGGAGCCCGTTATTAAATCGTCCACGTAACAATCGTTACGCAGCGCTGCGCAAGCGAGTGGATAAGCCGAACCTTCATCGCAGATTAGTTTGTGCAAGCATCGTATTGCCAAGTATGGAGCGCAGGTAGTTCCATATGTGACAGTTGTTAATTTCAAACATTTTAAGGTTTTGTTTGGACCTTCGCGCCACAATATGCGTTGTAAATCTTGGTCTTCTTTTCTAACTCGAATTTGGCGAAACATTTTAACTATATCAGCTGTGAACACAAATTTGTAACATCTAAATTTTATCAAAATCTCGAAAATACTTTGCTGCAACTTTGGACCCGTATAAAGTACGTCATTTAAAGAATTTCCGGTTGAAGTTACGGCAGAAGCATCAAAAACTACGCGGATCTTGTCAGAATCCCTTTTAAACACCGCATGGTGTGGTAGATAATAATGCATACCGGAGTGATCAAAATTTGTTACAGCTGCGTGACCTAATGCGATGTATTCGTTGATAAAATCAGAGTACTGTTTTTTTAAAATACTATTTCTTTTGAAGCGAGCTTCTAAATGCAAAAATCGACGTTTAGCTTGCTGTAATGATAAACCAAGATTTACATCAGCACTGGGCTTTAAAGGCAAAGCAACCACATAACTTCCATCAATATCTCTAGAAACATTTTCCAAAAAATGACGTTCGCAAATTTCATCGTCGCTTGATAACGAATAACTGTCATTTACCTCATCGATTTCCCAAAACCTTGCTATAGAGTTTGTTAGGTGGAGAAAATTATGCTTGGAAAAGATAAACCAGTGTTACAAAATACAGTTTTCGGTTGGGCTGTAGCTGGAAACTTCGAAAATAATTCTGGTCCAGTTGATAACTTAACGGCTTCTATTAATCACGTCCACCTAACATATCCGGCTCGAAGGACCAATGGTTGGGCTGGCTACCATCAGTAATTAATATAAAAGCGGACTGTAAAGTAAATAATTGTTATCTGACGATAACCGTTCCAAATTTTAATCTCACTGAATAAAAATACTGTGATTGGTATAAATCTATATTAATATCTTCAAACTTAAGCACAGAAATTTTCATTATTCGAATTTTAGAGGCAAATCATGAAAAGCTTATGAATTGGACGACGACGTTTATATATGTTTACAGAAAGTGAAAAAAATGAAGGACATTGTCTAATATTTATAATAAATATACATTCTGAATTGCAAAGTTAAAATTCTAGCTAGAACCCGAATTATTTTGGATATTAAAAAAATTTTGTTTTGGAATTTTTTTTTTTTTTCTCTTAAAAGTGTTGCGCTAGAATGCAAGCGGAATGTTTTTTGGATTATTCAAACCGGAGCCTCCATTTTCTAAAAAACTGGATTGCTATTTTCTGCACTCTTTACTTTGTATCTACTAAACGGATGGATCTGTCATTGCCAAAACTAATCAGCACGTCCCCTTATCAATAGGAATGGAATGCTTTTTGAATCAATAAAATCGGTTATTCCGTACGCCCGAAATCGTCGACGAACAATTGTATCCTCACATAGATTTTTTCTAAGGTATGCCAAAAAATCTCGAAACGTGAAGATTTTTTTTAATTTTATTTATTTTTATTTTATTTTATTTGCCTACATTTATTGCCGATCAAAATAATATACATTTTTTAAGATAATATGCTGGGTGTAAATTCATTCAAGAGATTATCTCCTATGAGATATCTCTCTTGTTTTATTTTTGACATTTTATTTAAGATCGTAGGTCCATTATTTTTTATTCTTCGAGTAGGAGATTCCTCGCTTAATTCATTTAAATATTTGTTTGGGTGACCTGGTAATTTTTCGTGGTATTTTTTGCTGAAACGTGAAGATATGCAAAAAAAATCATTTTTGATATTTAGTTAATAATCAATAATGAATAAAAACTGATCAATAATTAATAACAATTGATTCAAATGTATTTAAATTTGTACTATGAATACTGCAAGTTTCATCAATCATAGTTTATGAATCATTGTGATTTTTTTTTGGAAAATCTCAAAAATCGACTTTTCGATAACTTTGAAATTTTTGAAAAAAAAAAATATTTTCTTGAAATAACGTAATTTTAAATTTTTTTATATCTTTTGAAAATTTTGAAATAATTTAAATTAATCGATTTTTTCCAACTTCTGGAATTTTTTTAAAATTTTTAAAGATTTTGTAAAAAAAAATCAAAAATGTGATTTTTTGCAAGGTTTGAGATTTTTCATTTATCAATTATACAAGTTGTTTGAATTATTTTGACTGAACATTTCGCGCTCTGTAACTTCACAATAGCTAGACCTGCTATTTGAAAAAAAACTACTCAGTACGTCAATTTTTGACGAGACAAATCGGTTGTCTCATACTTCGAAAATGTCGTGGACATTTATTTGACCCTTATAAGTTTGAACCAGCAATTCCCCATCAATAGGAATCGAACGTTTCTGAATCATTGAAATCAGCTAATCCAATTATGTTGTATCCGAACATACACAAAGCCATACATGTATTTTTCTAAGGTATTCTAGAATTTTCAGAAATCTTTGAAAAAAAACTAATAGGAAAATTTTCATTAATGATTATTTGCGGTCACTTTACTCATCCTGAGGAATGTAAATATTAAAAGAAAACATGTTTGCCACTTTTTGGACATAATTTTAAAGTTACAGCATTTTTGACAGAAAGCTTATCTTATGCTAATTATTTTCATACTTCACTTTTGAATTAAAAAATTTAATTTAAAATAATTTATTTAAAAACATTTATAAATTGAACAGCATTCGGCCTTTGATAACGATTAAAATTCTATTTTTTCAGCAATAAAAATTTCATGAACTATGACATTTATCTTAAGAGATATTATTTTTTACTAGCACTACGCTAATTTGAATTAAAATGAAATTATTCGACCACATCTGCTACGATCGCATATGTGGCTTCTCGTATGAGAACCATTAATGAAATTCATGAGTACGTGCGTTCGTTTCGTTCGTTCGTTCGTTCGTTCGCCAGTATTCTAGAAATAGAGAACTATGCAGGAATTCTCCACTAACATATGAATTTTTATATCGGAATTCAAATTTCTTGCTCTTGCTCAGATCATATTCGTTATTGCCTCTTCATTACATTATATTTTAAAAAGTTTTAGCTGTCTAATTAAATTCTAGAGATGATTGTGATTGAAGGTGATCACATTCTTTCGTTCAATAAAAATATTTTATATGTCACTTTTTTGCACAGAGCTTCAATTATGAACATTACATATATTAGGAGAAATACGGAAAAAACGACACAGTGACCATATTTAAAAATTGGCTATTTTATTAATCAGTTTAAACGTGTGCTACTACAAAAAAGACAGTTTTAACTTCCCGTAGGGTAAGTTATTGTATTCGTCCAAAAATCGAAATAGAGAGATGTGCTGATTAGTTTTTGGCAAAGGCAGGTCCAGCAGTTATGGAGAGTAAGAGCAAAGAGTGCAGAAAATAGAAATCGAGTTTTTGAGAGAACGGAGCATCCGATTTGAATGATCTTAAATACATTCAATTAGTAATGATTGGGAGAAGTAGTTATTAGTTTTTTGCAAAGGCAGGCCCAGCCATTTTGAAGATACGGAGCTAAATTTACAAAAAATGGCAGTTTTTGAGAGAACTAAGCGTCCGATTTAATTGATTCAAAGAACTTTCTGCTTGTCTTAACAAAATAACTGGTTTTGAAAAAAAAATTGTTTTATCTTTTTTTTTAATTTTTTGTATATCGAAAATAATTCAGATTTAATTTTTAATTTTGACTATAGTTCTAATATATTTTACAAATAATTTCAACTTTGCAATTCAGTTTATACAATTTTTATAAATATTAGACAATGTTACAATATTTATAATAATCTATTTGAAAACATTCAGTATTCCTCGAACATTTCGTTAGGGTACGGGAAGTTCCAGCAATTTGCCTTAAGGCACGATGCCACACACCCCACGAGTTTTAAGTTCGAGGTCAACTATTTTTTTTTTTTTTTAATACGGGATTGGCAAAGTACAACACTTTTGTTTTTAAAATACTTTAAAAAATTTATTTTTATCGAGAATTGTCTATTTTTCAAATTTTGAGAGTATTTTTTTTATTTCAATTTTCTATAATTTAAAATTGAAAAAAAAACATAGAACATCTTTTACATAAAACAGCCTTTTAATTTCTACCAAGAGCTTTTCACTCCTATTTTTTTAAATTTTGGAATCAAGTTTCTTTTAATTGTAAATTGACCTATTATGTGATATAATTTCAGTTGAGATTTTTTTGAATTTATGAAAATGCTTGAAGGTTTAAAAAAAAATTATTGAGAGTTGTCCAACGCTAACACTTTATTAAATTCTGGGATACATTTTCTTTTAATTTTGACTTTTAACTTTAAAAAATGCATACAATTCTAAATTTTCACCCTCTTTTGGCAAATCTTTATTTCATAATAGACATTTTAGTAATCGAATAATTTTTCTCCAAGCTTTCAGTCTGAGTATTTTTTACGGAATTTTGAATTATATTTCCAGATTTTATGGTAAAATAAATTTTACTTAAAAAAAACAATTTATTTTTATCAAGGGTAAATCCTCCATCCAAAAAAATAGTGAAATTTAATACTAAAATCTAAAGAGACAACAGTTTTTGAGATGAAACTAGGTATTGTATAAATTTATAGCAAAGCTGTAAAATTTTCCACTCTCTTAAATATAGTTATGTATATATATATATATATATATATATATATATGAAAATATAAATAAAAAAATACTCACAGTATTTTCTCCAACATCGTTCACCTCGCAATGAATTTGCGCCGTGGATCCAGTTTGCGCCAAAACCACCGTGCAATTCTCACTCACAAACATATTTTTCTTTAATTTTTCTCTCCTGTTCGATTCTTTCCAAAACCGAATTAGCACTGGCACTTTTCCCAAACTTATTCACACTAACAAATTCACCATTTTTCCCATCTCCAAAAACAGTCTTATTATTATTCACAAACAGCTGATCAAAATCCTGTTCACTGGGAATCAGACTGACATCAACGTGTTGATGTTTTACCAGTTTATCTAAATTATCTGAAGACTTTTGGAGTTCACCCTGGTTTATGTTGATGATTTCCAAATTTTGGTATTTTCGAGGAACTTTGTCCAGTTTTCTCGAAATTTCTTCGAGTTCCATCTCGGGTGATTTATGTTTACCATTTTTGTGATGGTGTTTGCTATGGTGCTGATTTGATGTCTTGTTTTTATTCTGGTTTGTGGCAAGGGCTTTTGCTCCAGAGTTTGTAGTAAATGATTTTCGAATAAGGGACTTCTCGTAGAATGTGGATGGTGTCTTGATTTTGTGGAATGGTGTTTGCTGGCTGTAATGATGGTTGTTGAGTTGTGGGATCTCGTTCTTCGACGACCTGAAAAAAAAATGCAATTATAATATATAAATACAATTTGTCTACTACTACACTTACACACATCAGCATCAATCAACAAAAACCCACATCCATACTAAGAAATTTAATACAAAAAATCGATTCAGAATTCCATCACCATCTTCACATCTGAACGAACTATCATGTTCGCATCTAGTTTTGTTTACCGAATCGTCGGACTGATTTTAATTCAATTATCTATATGTATAATAGCTGAAATAACATCCAGCTTCAGACTGGCAGCAAAATAATGACAGAATTTCGAATCTCACTTCGATATCATCAGACTTTGTGTATGTTTCTGTCTGCCTTGTTTTCAAATAATTGAGTTATTCCGAGAATAATTGATTGGTCTTGATAAAGGAATGTTTGTTGATAGAATTTTTATCGTTTTGATTATTGGAAATATCTTTCAAGAATCGAAAATCATTGATAAAAAGTAGAGAGAGAGTGGTACAGTTAAGGAGGAAGAATTGTGTTTATTTATTCGCAAAATAAAATAATTTTGATAGGTAG